TCCACCACTGACCCACAGATCAGGCATGGGGAACCTTTGGCCTGCCAGACATTGCTGAACTACTTTTGCCACCATCCCTGGCCTTTGGCTATACTTGCTGGAGCTGATGGGAGTTGTAGTCTGGCAACATTTTCGGGAGAAGCAGATTGGCTCTGCTGGTGCATTGGCACCATGACAACCTTCTTGCTGTCTTGCTCTGCCCACTCTCCTTCTGGATAAGCAAAGGCAACCCACCTGCTAGCACAGTAGCTCTGCCCAACCCTGAGAGCTGCTTCAGACAAGAGGGGGTCAACAGCTGCCCAGATCTGTCCTTTGAGTTTGCTTTATAGGAGTCTGCATCGACCTGGCGCCCTTGGCTGCTTTGGATTATAACTCCCAGCTGCTCCATTTTACTGTTGAAAACTGTGCTGGCTGTGGATGATGGGAGCTGTAGTCAAAAACAGCTGAAGAGTACCAGGTTGGCAAAAGATATTAGATGGTTCCTTTTCCCTCTATAGGGGCCAATACTGGAATGAAAGAGGGAGATGGAGAGAGATGTTATAGCAGTGGCAACAGGACTTGCCTGTGAGAGCAACAGGTTCCTGGGTTTTCAGCATTTGCCAAGTTGAAAAGCTACATGAAGGGCTGTAGCTCAGTGGTAGGACATCTGTTTTGTATAAACAACAAGGTCTCAGGTTCAATCCCCAGCGTCTCCAGGTTGGCCTGGGAGAGAATCCTGCCTGAAACCCTGGAGAGCCATTGTCAATCAGCATAGACAATTCTGAGCTAGAAGCAGCTCCCTGTATATTCCAAAGTTGCCCTCTAGCAAAACAAGCTGCCAGAACCTTAAAAAAAAGAGAGAGAATACTTCCCAATGCAGCAAGTTCCTTCCTTATCTTGCAAGATGGACCCCACTTTGATAGAACTGTGTGCAACTACTTGAGGGCTCCAATACCTCCTGCAACTCCTGTGGTGAGGAAGACACAAATTCTGCCTCAAGAAGGATCTGCTTCCCGCTCCACTCAGAGTTTCATCTGTTGCTTTTAATAACATGGATCTCGGGACAAGCACTATCACTGAATGCCAGTTCCCGGTATTAATCAGCGTTTGAACTGCTAACATTTCAGAGCTGAACCCGGCAGTGCTTGAACCGATGACAGGAGCATTTCACAATTGCATTTCTCCCTCTTGTTTATTGCTCCAGAGTTGAGTGATGGCTGATAATTAAGAGAGCACCTGGTGGTGGGGATGATAAGGAATTTACTAATTCCTTCTCAGGTCAGTCACTTCACACACACACACACACACACACACACACACACACGTACGTAAACCCCAAACCTGGAACTTTTAAAGTAGGACATCAAGCCATCTGCCTAGCACTGAACAAAAATGAGTGCTAATCATCCCATTGCATAGACAACTTCCATGAAGTAGCATAAGGTTGGGAGGGGGAGTGTATCAAGCCAGGTACTAGGAGAAGGCAAGAGCTGGAGGAGGAAAAGCCTCATCCTGCCAGGTTCTCAGCAGGAGCCCAGCCCTCCTCTCATTCTTGTCTCCCACTGTCGGAGAAGAGACGAAGGAAGGAAGGAAAGCAGTGCATTCTATGTTCTCATACTCTGCCTTTCATTCATTCAACACAGGCTCCACCCACATGGGAGGAGCCTGGTGCTGATGTAGAGCAGCCAAGCAAAAGCAGCCTCTCCCTTTAGCTTTTCGTTTTGGTGGTTCTGGCAGAATATGCACATGGCACATTGCCCATGTTAAATGACTGTTGCGACGCTTAAAACAGAAACTTCGGGCTTGGCGGATAAATTAAGTCCCTCCAGGCTTCTGTAACTGACTCTTGAGACCAAGGCTGGTCCAAGACATTTGGCACCTGAGCTGAACCACAAAAGGCATCCCTTCTCGACCAGAGAAGAAGGGGTGAGTGGAAATCTGTATCAGGTACAAGAGGAGAAAAAAGATCTACATCCAGAACAACATACCCTCCAACACTTCTCCGATGAAAATAGGGACAAGGTGAGAAGAGATCAGTACTGCCTGCTATTCCACAAGAGGCTGCTGCAGAGATGCATGGGGGGGGGGGTTCCTATTGCTGAAGAGGAAGCAGATTCAACCTCTAAAGAGGATGCTGCAGCTGTTGCTGCCACTGTGGCAATGGCGGTGGCGGTGAGCAATGCATTCTTTGGAGGCTGCATCTGCTGCCCCATGGATTCTGCTGCCTGAGAAGATCTTCCCACCTTGCCCCATGGGTGGAACAGTCCTGGGACTCAGCTACATTAGCAAAAAAAGGAAAGAAAAGTGTGTTTTAAATGTGTTATAACACTGTGACACCAGATGGCGATGTAGAGCTTGGTCTTTCGGCAACATGATTTCCCATTATGAGGTTTACAATGGGTTTTCCTGAAATGGGTTTTTAATGTGTCTAGATCCAGCCCTGCTTGGGACTCTCCCCACAGCACACTTCCTCCCCTGCCGTACTCCATCTCTGCATCTCCAAGCCATGTCCTTCACTGTTCCAGCTTTGCACCCTCCTTGGGGGTTTTCGCCCAGCTGCATTGTGTCCTTGAACTTTGACCATGCCCTTTGCTTGCCTGGATGAAGGATAGAAAGGTGAATGTGTTTAGAAGGTAAAATTTACGTCCATTGCTCCACCCACCTTTACCTCTGGCCCTACTCATCCATGTGGCCTTTGTGATATTACCTGGAAGGGAATGCAGCCCCCTAGGCTGAAACTGACCCTCACCCCTGCTTTCAAGTCTTAGGCTTCCATTTTGTCTCCTACAATAATTGGAAAAGGCACAGTCATCAGCTTCCATATTTCCACAAAATCTGAGTCATGGGTCATTCACCACTGGTGTCCCTTGTCATGCACGTTGCCTCTGAAATGTAGGAAATGTCTTTGGGTCAAGTTCCAGTCCTGAAGAGGAGCTCATGGAGCACAGAGGGTCTAAGCAGATCAGTCATCGCAAAACCAAGGAGCTCTGGCTGAGCAACTTGCCCTGAGAGCAACAGGGACCAGACTCTGGTCCAAGCTCAGGGGACTCTGGTTTAGGTGCCTTGGGGGTCCCTGGAATCTTTGGTTTGGGGGCAGGGGGGATGTCTCTAGTTCAGTGGTGGTGTTTTGGCCTAGTGCTTCTAACATTGGCACCACTGGTCCCTCAGCCTCTGAATTTGTGTCCAGGTCACTGCTGTATTCTGGGTCATGGAATTTGGTGAACTCCAGTCAAGATGGCACCTCTGTCCTTTGTTGCTTTTGAGGAACTGGAAACCCAGAGTAAGCCTCAGCTCTTTCCAAACTGCACCGGCAAACTATATTGCCATCTAGTGACTAAATGACAGAATGACCCTTCTCTACACCTGTCATTCTTGCACGCACAGCCAAACGGAGATGTCTGAATTGGCCCTGAAGAGCTGTTCCACCTTTTCAGCTGCGGCCATCTTGGATGCAGCCATATCATGTTGTGCAAACACACAGTTCTAAACATGTGCAGAGGGCATGCACACAATTCTAAGCATGTTCAGCCACATGCTGTGGAGCACTGATTGGTGGTGGTTTCCAGAAACTCTCCAGTGCATAAGTAAGTACTTTTTTAAAAAGTACAAGAGACTAGTACAGTCAATATTCAGGCAAGCAAGTGAAAGTAATTCCTTTCTTACTTTTGTGTGTTACACATGCACAGCAGCAGCTTGCTGATTTGTTCTCATGCAGCTGGGTATGTCATTTCCACAGGACAGACAACTCTCTCTCTCTCTCTCTCTCTCTCTCTCTCTCTCTCTCTCTCTCTCTCTGTGTGTGTGTGTGTGTGTGTGAAAAACAACAATTTATTTCAACGAAATAAAATACGGTTCCTTTCAGTTTTGAAACTATGTAGAAAGAGAGGGGCATTTTTAAAACCCAGGAAATATAAGGAGGAATTTAACAGGAAGGGGTGTTGAAAGAACAGAAGAATAGGGTCACTTCAAGAAGCATTGGGAGCTACATAAACTGAGATTCAGGGCTGCATGTGTTCCATTTTGCTCAGAGTTTGTATTTCACAAATCAGACTCAAACAAACAATGCTAAAGGTTATCTCCCAAAATTCTAGACACTAGGTAGGTTAAAGATTACTTGTTGTCATCCATGTTTTGCAATTATGTTCAAAAAGAGAACATTTCTGAAGACCTGGTAGTCAGAATATTGAGGAGGCTTTGGGTCCCGTCCCCCCGTCCCCCCCCCCCGTTTTTGCAAATACAAGTTTTGTGCCTATTGATGGGAGTGAGGATGAGGGAAAAAAGCTGTTTGAAGTTGTCACCAAAATACATCTTGGGGTTCTAAAAATATTTTGACATGTTATTTTGCTTTCAGATGCATTCAAAGGGCTATCTAGTGCTCGTCTTCTCATTGTCCTCCTTGTTCCATGGAATTATTTTTAATTAGGGAGGAAAAGGACTCAGCTTGTTACAATTGATTCTCCCAACCCAAAAAAATACCCCATTGTGCAGGATATCAAAACAAACAGGTGCACACAGCTTCCCACATGATATGCCATAGAAAATGAGCAGAGAGTTTTGTGCAAACATCATGTGCCCATTTGTACAATAAAAGTTCAAGCAATCAAAAACTGGAGTTGCAAAAGGGGTCTATTCGAAGGGGTACTCAGCAATCCCTTTTTAAAAAATAACTTTATCACATTTGTATCCCACCATTCCTCCGAGGAGCTGAAGGTGGCACTCAGGATTATGCCATGTTATAATCACAACAGCCTTGTGAGGTTGGTTCAAGAACACAGGAGCCTGCTGGATCAGATCACTAACCCATCCAATCCAGAATCTTGTTCTCATAAAGGCCAACCAGATGTCTGTAGGAAACCTGCAAGCTGGAACTGAATGCATTCCTGAGATAGCTCAATCATTAGAGCATGCCACTCTTAATCTCAGGGTTGTGAGTTCAAGCCCAGATTGGGGAAAAGATTCCTGCATTTCAGGGGGTTGGACTAGAAGACCCTCATGGTCCCTTCCAACTCTACAATTCTAGCTGGAATAGCTCAGCCATTAGAGCACTAGCCTTTTAATCTCAAAGTTGTGGGTTTGAGCCCCACACTGGACAAAACATTTTTACTATGTTGTTATATATGCTGTAAGCCACCCAGAGTGGCACCCATGGGTGGGCTATAAATAATAAAATTATTATTATTATTATTATTATTATTATTATTATTCCTGCATTGCAGGGGGTTGGACTAGATGACACTCATAGTCGCTTCCCACTCTACAATTCTATTATTCTAACTTTCAGATTGGCCCAAGGCCATTCAGTGAGCTTCATAGTTGATTTGGGATTGGAACCCAGAGCCCCTATCCTAAGGTCCAATTTCAGCAGATTATGGGGGGCGGGGAGGGAGAGGTTAATTCTGGGTTTGGGATTCAACATGTGCTCGCACACAAGGAAAGGGGTGGGTGGGTCTCAACCCTATACATCTGCCTGGTTTGCCTATGTTGCCCCCAAAGAAATCAGTAAAGAGACCCTTTTCTTGAGAAACTGCAATAACAGCTGCAAGCATTATCATATAAATTTAGTACCATGGACAGTGTGCGAATAATTCTCCCTGGGCAGACAGGATCCTTCTGGGTCCTTGCTTTTACCTCTAGCGTTCCCTGTATTAATAGGGTTAAAGGTGCCGCCACGGTGAATTTATGGCTGACATATCTCAGTCTGTTACAGCAGGATCACTAATGGGTGACCTTGAGGTTCGACCATTCCAGACTCAGAAAGATCAAGTCTCAACCCTTTCTGAAAGTGCTGTGTGTCTGTGACCCTTTCATTCTCCATCTCCATGGCCTAACCTTTAACTCACTGATCTTTGACCAAATTATTAAGCAAACACCTGCTTAGGGCTTTGACCAAGGGCTCTAGACCTGGAGAGCTACCATAATTTCATGTGAATTAGCTGTAATCATAGCAATGCTGGCTTCGAGGGAGACTATCAGAGGATAAGTTTACAGTAAATAAGCATGCTGGCTAGGAGACCTCCACACAACTGCCATTCAGCAACCCTCTTTACCTTCAGTACAACAATGTTAACCTAGCTGAAGGGGGTAATATTGCCTTACCAGCAAATAAAAGGGTTCTCTTCCCCCCAACCTTGCCTTTCAGGTGGTTGAAATGCCAATTAGGTAATATTTATTTCTCATCACTGCAGTGAAGACAAAGACTCAAATTAATCCTTTGATGCTAAGGATTTGCTGTGATAATCGCAGCTTCATATATTTTTTTATCAGTGCAGAACAGAAGTCAGAAGTAAATAGAAAGAAGGAAATGCAGCAAAAACAGATAAAAAGCCACAAATGCAGGGTGTTTGTCAAGGCTTCTCTACCTTACCTGGCTAGCTGGATTTCTACTGGCAGGGAGAGTTTTGGGGTGGTTGTTTTTAGCTTTAAAGACATTTCTGAGAATTCAGAAATGTGAACCTCCCTCCACCTGATCTCCAAAGGGATAAATTGACCCAGGCTGTGACTACCTCATGGCAAAATGAGTGCTGGGGCAGGACATTTCCTGAAACTGCCCTTTTTTGCATTGTAAAAGAGAAGCCATTTTACCACACAGCCTCCTAATATTCTGTATCACCGCAACCCCAAAATGCTCCACAACAATCTTATATCTGGGGCATTGTGGGGAGATACAAAATAGTGGTGGATACAAAATGGCAGTCAAGCAGGCAATACAAGAACTATTCTATGTAAAGGGTTTAAAAAAGAAATAAGTCGTGCCACTGCGGTTATTAATGGTGACCATGGTTACACATTAAAAAATGGCCAAATGGTTCTTTGATTTGGGCACCTGTGAAGAGAGAGAAACCTAGCGCCTCAAGGTTAAAAGTTCTAGCTCTGTCCTTTGTTGACTGTACTGGGTTTCCATTTAGCAGGGCATCTGGGGTTTTTTAAAGAAACATGTCTGAGTGTTCAAAAAATGTGACTTCTCACTTGGAACCTGAAATGGTAGAGTCCATTCTGTGATCCCAGGCCTCTGCCAGTTCATTCTGCTGCAGGGTGCAGATCAAGCCCACCAGGAATTGCTGTTGCTCCTACAACAACTGATGTCAACAAGCCTGTCTTTTCATTAGGAAGATAACAGCTACCCAACAGTTGTGAGAATGAAATAAACAAGCATTTAGTGCAAAAGGAAGTGCCCCCCCTGTTGCCACTTATAATTTAATTATTAAATGGCTGCTTGATCGATAACCCCGTTTCCCTGCCTGCATTGCTATTCAGGCATTTTAGTCAAGCCTAACTATGTTTATATAGATCTGATGGACTATGAAGGGCAGGTGGGACCCTGGTTGGATTGCTGCTTCATTTTTTGTGGGGGAAAAACTATGTATGCTTGTGCCACTCAATTCCAGAACATATAGGTGGATTTAGGCTACAATCCTAGGCGTGCTTACTTGGGAGTAAACCCTGTTGAGCTCAGTGATATCTGTTTCCAAGTATACATATATAAGATTATGCATAATGTATTGTCCCAGAAGTGTAAATCAGTCACAATTTTGCATCTTACCCCTTCTTCCAAGTGCTTAGAGCAGCTTTTATAAACCTCCCTCCCACTTGATCCGCACACAGCAACCCTATTAAGTTAGGCTTGACTGAGAGATCATAATTGGTCCAAAGTCACCTAAGTGAGCATCACTGCCAATTAAGGTCTTAGTTTGACACACTAACCACTACACCAAAGAAGAAGGTAGCACAGAGCCTGATCCCATCTCTCTTTGGCAATTAGCCACCAGACCCAATTTCTATGCTGCTAATGGAGACTAGAAGGTGATCAGGAGGACTAATTCAACCATTTATTTTGAACTTTATGCATCAGAATGTCAGAGCAAAAAGTCATACCTGGACCAAATAATTTGATCTGTAATTCTTCTTAAACCCAGATGTTTGCAAAGGATGGGGAAGACTTCCAGTCTCCACATTAATGAGTCAATCTTGAAGCAATATCCAAACTAAAACCAGGCTAACTTTTGACACTCCTCCAAATTGTGTGATGTGCTTCTTCTACAACAAAAACGTGTTACAAAAATGCATATCCTACTGAAAGGATGCATACAATGCATATTCTGGCAAAAAATCGAATTAAAAATGGATTATATTAGGGAAAGCTGACTTCTGGGATTTACCACTGTAAACTGTGGTGCTCAACTGCAGATCAACCTTCCCTCACCTGTTGACCTCAAGAATGCATAGACTGAAACATCTGGCAGACAACAGAGGAAGGCTGTTGGAAGTGAACAACTAAATACAGAAGTAGAGTTATTAGCCATGATAACTCAACTGCTGACCTTTTAATTCAGTTTTATCTGAATAGTATGGCTAAGCCAAATGTTTATAAACACACTGCATTTGTAAAACAAAGGGATGCTTTGGGAGAGAAGGAAGATTCCCTGAAAATCTGCCTACAGTTGGTTGCATCTCGTGACAGGTGAGGCAGTACCACCTCTTTCCCCAGTGAGGTTTCTCCATCCTCATAATGTGATTTGCTTTGAGCAGGTATCAGGTATGTGTTGACACTGCAATGGCAAATAGATTTTTCATTGTGGCAATGTTACAGAGGAAAAACATAGCAAATTCAGAGTGATGGCAGGGTTTCCTATATCAAACTGCTCTTACTTTGGATGGACTGTGGTGGATAGCAAGAAAGGAGGATGGACTGTCAAAACCACTCGGGCAGCTACCATCACTGAGGCACTGCAGAAGCTTCTCTAGCTGCTGCTATTGATAACATAGGTAAAACCACAGCCTTTTTTGAAGCCCCCCCCAACCCCCCCAAAAAAAACAACGACACCAAAAGCAAGGGTCCATTTTGTTGTCTGCAAACACAGCTGTAGGTTGGGGGAATCCAAAAGAGGACCTTTCAACCCATAAATATGGTAGAAACTTATTTTTTAAAAACCCTTTTTGATCTAATAATCAAATAATGGAGAGGTTCACTTTTGTTTCATTTTGAAATGAATGCATTTTAAAAGTACTTTAATTTAATACCTGTTTATGCCTGGTGGGGATGGAAGGGACAGCCTGCTAATTTTAAACAAAAAGACCTCCACATGAGCGTTGGCAAAGAGTGACACCCCCCATGTGAGGATAAAATATTATATATACATCAGTCAAGCGCATCAATAAATAAAGCTCTTTTTTCATATGTAAATAGGGAGTTCTTAACAAAAAAGGAGTCATTGTTTTATAAATAGCGAGATAATATTCTTGAAAAAGGTTACGAGTGATTACATAAGCTATCTAAGTCATGAGGAAATTCGAAGCTCACACTTGCTCTTTTCATTAAACCCGTCTTTTCATCTTGGCAGATGCAGAAAGCCAAACCCTGCATTTTAATTAGAGATTGTAAATAATTATATGACTTAAGAAACTGAAACTATTAAGGTTTCTTCAGGATGTCGAAGCGTAGAGTCAGTGAGCTGCATTGCTGAGGCATGTTTGTATGTAAACCACACATTCAGCTCAATTTGGTATTAACATTATTAGGGCAATGACCACTCCTTCTTCATTCCCTTAAAAAAATCAGTTGCAAAGAAAGCTGTTTTGCTCATTACCTTGCAACAAATCTTTACATTTACATCTCAGCTTTCACTTTTCCAGTTTTAAGTTCTATTTCTGCAATAGTTTGCAATTTTAAAAAAGTCCTCATGAGAATGCATCAACATTTTAATTTGCATTTCTCCTAACACACATTTGTGCATGCAATTTCCCCTAATACAACACATTTTTGTATGTTATTGTCACTAATATATTCATTTCCATGCATGCTTTTGCATAATGTATGCATTCTGTTGTTGTTCGGATAACTGTATTGCCAAATTCAGATACATATAATTAGGTGGATTTTGAAGGTTATTGATTCATTTGTTTATTGCATTCAGACTCCACTTTTCCTCCGAGGAGCTCAGTGTGGTGTACATAGTTATCCCTCATTACATTTTATGCTCACAACAACCCTGTGAGGTAGGTTAGACTGAGAGACAGTGAGCTTCATGGCCAAGTGGGGATTTGAGCCCTAGTCTTCCAGGTTCTAGTCCAACGCTAGGACTCTGGCAAAAAATCT